TTCAACCCATCAAAGACCTGAAAAGGGAAATAATATTACTTGAGTAAATAAGAAGTACAATTAAGCAACTTCTAAAAGGTGCAACGAATGACAGAAAACTAACTACCTGGACAATCATCCAAAGTCTCATTTAGAATGTTGAGGCAACCAACTTTGGCTAAGGCCTAGAGTATCTGACAGACCGTTTTCAGAGGCAGGAAAATTTGAAAGACTATCTTAGCCTGTCTTGGCAAGATTTGACAGTCTTTTTGCTTGTATCCTGCTTGTCCAGAATAGACAACATGCATTTTGTCAGTAATCGAGGCAGGGGCAGTTCTTTGCCGAAAGACCAGTTTTGTCAAGAAGGAAACAAACTCCAAGTGGAGAGTCTTCGGTGTCCAATATTCTCTCGGGAATAGATCAGTGTGTCCCGTACAATGTGAGGATGGATCCAATTAACTCTTTTTATAAGGTTAATTATAGCACTTTTGGGATAGTTGTCATTAATCGCTCCCAAAAAATTAGTAGAAGTTCTTTGCCAGGGTTCATTGTCTTTACATAAATTTCATTATTAGCAAATGATAGGTCTATTTTTGCTAATTGATGAAGTCTCAATTTTCCTTTTATAATTCATTTAGAGATCTTTTCTACATAGGATTTTAATGGCATGGACTCAGGACACATGAGCATGTTGGGCGCCAATTTGTTGATGTACAAAAGAGTTGCACAATAGCCTGGAATGGAGTATAGCAAAAGTTTATCTATTTGGGGATAAACTCACAGAAAGCGTAGCGGTCCACAGTGCTGTGCATGCGCTGGAAACTAGAACAGATGCTAGTACATGAGACCACGCCCAAAGTGGGCTGGTATCTTAAAGGCTATTGGCTGATGGAGTTCCCATAACATTTTGTCACGTGGCTTTGTGACTTTACCTGTTCTCCAGCACATCTTATTCCTCTGGCGGCTGGCTCGCATCTCTCTCCTCTCATTTCATCCTTCTTTCTCTCTGTATTTTCAGTTTGACTTTCCCAGAGGCCAAATCAGCTTTTATTATCAACCAGTGAGAGCAACACATATTCACAGTGTACAGAAGGGTTATCCCACAGCAATTGTGTGGCATGTGTGAACTCACACAAATGAACTGAACATGCATACACACTATATACATCACACATACAACAGCATACACATGATTTGTATTTCACATACATACATAGAATACACTTTATAGCCATTGTTCTCTCTCTTTTCTCTGTAGGGTGCCTGGCCTGGAACTAGCTCTTGTACTCACAGAGTAGCCTCAAACTCACAGAGATCCACCTGCCTCTGCCTCCCAAGTGCTAGGATTAAAGGTGTGTGCTACCACCACCCAGCATAGCCATTGTTAAGTGTATGGTGCAGCAATGCACGTTTGCTTTTCCATCCTTTCCATCTTAGGAGTTAGACCATACTCACATGAAACATTAGCTTTTAGTTCTCCATGCCCTATTCTGCCCCTGTGATCATGATCCTATTTCTGTTACCTAGACATGTGGCTAGACTAGGCACTCCAGCTTCCATCTCTCCATCTTTATTTGTTTGTCCCCCCCCCCCCCGCCCAAGACAGCACTTCTCTGTGTAGCCTTGGATGTCCTGGAACTCACTGTCTGTAGATCAGGGTAGCCTCAAACTCAGAGATGTACCTGCCTCTGCCTCCCATGAGTTGAGATTAAATGTATGTGCCACCATGCCTGGCTTTTATTTCTAATTTCTGATGACTGGAATATGTCCTGTGGTGTAAGGTCATCAAGGTACATATATAGTAATAACATAATATTATGGAAGGCTGAATAATATTACTTGTGTGAATGCAGCCTGTTTTCTTTATTCCTTTAGTGATAGCTGCTGGGCCTCTGACATTCCTGTGGCATTCTGCCCCCCCACCCCCCAGCATAGCCTCTGATGCTCTGTCCTGCATCTTCTTGGCTCCTCTCCCCTTTCAATCTCTGATGGATGTGTCTAGTGGCTGGACTCAAGCTGACCGTCTCCCGTCTCCCATCACCAGATGCCATCTGTTTTTCTAAAGCCCTGGCAAATTTGGGGACTTAAAGGCCCAAAGACAGTTCCAGCCAACAGAGGATAGGAACCAGAGACTAAATCGAAGTTCTGCCTGGTGACTTTGAAATAACCGCTCCTAGAGGCCTTGTATGAGCTTCTTGGGTGTCTTCATGGCATTGTATGAGCGTGAGCCTAGGCCTTCAGTAGTGTTCTGAATATTGCATATTTTCTTTTCCTGTCCATCTCACTCACTGTCCTGTTGCTGTGAAGAGACAGCATGACCATGACAACTCTTATAAAAGAAAGCACTTAATTGGGGTGGCTAACAGTTTCGGAGGTTAAGCTCATTATCATCATGGTGGGACGTGGTGGCACTCAGGCAGACACGACTCTAAAAGTTTTATATCTTGATCCACAGGCAGCGGAAGCCGCTGTCTCACACTGGCCAGAGCTGAGCTTCTAAGACCTCAAAGCCCACTTCAGCCGTGACACGCTCCTACCAACAAAGTCACACACAACAGGGCCACACCTCCTAAGAGTGCCACTCACTATGGGCTAGGCATTCACACATAAGTGTCTGGGGCGGGGGGGGGGGACCATTCTTCTTTAGACCACCACGCTGTCTTGCTGTTTTGATTTCATGGCACTTGCTTCCTAGGATCCCCTTTGGGAACAAACCACCTGTATCCCACGGTCCGTGAAGCTCCGCTTCGGGAGTGGTGGTGACCTCCACTGAGATACCTGCTGATTCTATCCCCTCCTCCCCTCCAAAAGAACATTCGATTCTGTTTCACGGTTCTCCATTACAGCATTAAAATATATTAAAATGCAAATTAAATTAAAATGTGCAAGTATTAAAATGCTGCTTATTTTGGAATAGCTACTGGGCACAGTAGGTGACTTGTAGTTTGGGAATTCTGAGATCCCCAGCAGGATCAGACGTAGAGCAAATATCAATCAAACAAACAAACAGCAAAACCAACTTGGCTTTCCATTTCTGCTCGTCCAACAACAACAAAAAAAAATGGAAAAAAATTCAACAGGACATGACTGCTTTGTGTGGGCTGGACATGAGCTGCCCTTTCCGAGTTACCATTTGTAACCATTCAACTTCCTGGTCAACAATTTAGAACCGCCTCGGAGGTGGGTGAGATATACTCTGGAAGCATCTATGAGGACATCTCCAGGGAGGATTCTCTGAGGGGGAGGACGGTACCTCGAGGGTGTGAATAACACCATGCTATAGAGTAGGGACCCCGACAGAATCAAAGGGCAAACAAAGAGAAAGTCAGCAAAGTGGTGGCGTCCCCTCTGTTTTCTGGGAGATCCCAGGGAGTCACAGCTGGATGCTGTCAGCTGTTTATGCTCCCACGAGCTCAGTGCCTTGCCTTGTGCTGCCATGGAGACAGGTAGGCCCACGCCGGAACAGAGGTATTGCTCTCTTCTATGGGACTTGCTAGGAGGGCATTCTGTGGGCTCAGCAGTTGGTGGTCAGTGCCATCAGGGTAAGAGGGAAAGGGCTCATTCACTTCGACCTGGGAAGGCGAGCCTGACGAGAAATGAGGTAAGAAGCTGGTGCCAGTCATCTGGGGTGTGGGGATATTCCTGAACCTGGCGATGGCTCCCTAAAAAGGCTCAAAGAAGAGGCTAACTAGAGCTTCTTTAGTTCGGTGGACACCATGAGAAGATAAGGTAGAAGGCTGGGTCGGCCTGTGTGCTTCCCTGGAGGATGAGGGAGTGGCCTGAGGAGGGAGCTGTGGAGTCAGAACCTCTTTGTTTCCACCTCGGAGGCTCCAGGCTTCACAGAACGCCCTAATAGGGAAGGGAAGGGCTCCAAGGAAGCTGTTCTATTTATTCTGTTTAGGTCAGGCTGGGAGTTTGTGAGCTAGGGGAGGGTAGTGGGGAAGGCGTAAATGAAATGAGATTAAAGTTTGATTTAGATTGGACTGGACTTTGTAATAACAGCCAGTCAACCTGCTTGTTAACACTCGAAGGTGACAGGAAAAGCGAGAAAAAAAAAAAATGTACCCTAGATTCTTCCTGAGGAAAAGGGAGGACACACAGACTAATTTAAAAAGACAGCCGTGTGAGAAGTGAGCTTTCATGATTTCCCTTCCCTTACCATAGTCCAGTTAGTACAAGAATTCAGCTGGTATAAAATGTTGCTCAGTAGGGCAGTGCTGGGGTGGAGGAGGGAGCCCGCTTTCCCACACTCCCGACTCCCAAGAGAGTCAGCGCACAAGCACCAGCGAGCAAGCCCACCCCGCCAGGCAGAACCGCCTCGCTATTCTGCTATTCTTCTCAGTCTGCTCCAAGCCTTGCGAACCAGAGGCCGTGAAGCCCTTGGCTTGTCTTCAGGCTTCCCAAGTGCGCCGCTTTCAGGCGACCTGGTAGGGTCTCCGTGTGAAGTCCTGCGTTCATGTTTATTTCTGAGAGACGTTGTTAATTACGAAACAGAAATAAGTTTGTTTTGAGACAAGAGCAGTCTGCTTTTCCCAACAAACCTTTCGGGGAAAGTAGATAGTGGTCTCCGCCTTTAACCCCAGCAGGAGGCTGTCTTGTGACTTCCAAGCCAGCCAGGGCTACATAGGAAGTAAGACACTGTCTGAAACAAAAAGAGACCCCCTCCTCGCAACACGCACACAATCACACACAAAACCCTTTAAATGACCACTTTGGTCTCCCCTTCATCCCTTACAAGTTTTCCCGCTGGATCTCAATTTTTCCTACTGCACACAATTAGAAGAGGCTCCCTCTTCTGAGCGGAGAACAGCATATCTCACTCATGGGAGTCTGGGCTTTAGGTCGGCGACCTCAGGTTCTCTCTTTTCCCTGGGGTCGGAGGCTGGATGCTCCGGGCCGCTGTGGTCCCGTGAGCTGCAGGCCCGAGTCCGGTCGGCAGAGGGCGCTCGGCTCCCCGCCGCGGGGCTCCGGCCGAGAGGAGGCGCCCGGGCTCGTGAGCATCTCCGGGCGGCCGGGAGGGGGTGCGCGCGTTGGGCCGCTGCAGCCGGGCTGCTGTCACCGCGGACCGCACCTCGCTGGCGGGTGGGCGGCAGCGGTGTCTTTGTCCGGCGAGGCGTCCTCAGCCCCGACCATCCTTTCGATCGGAGCCGGGCGGCTTGGGCGGTGCCCAGCGGTGAAGTGCGCGGGCGGAGGGCTGGCTGTGGCCACGGCCCCAGGTACCCCGGTGCCCCAAGCTTGCCACCTGCGCCACCTCTGCCCACGCTCTGTCAAGTTGCAGAAGACCCGGGTGGGTCAGGAGTCTGGACGCGTGGGCGCTGCAAACTCCAGCTGCGAAGGAGCTGCTTGCGGAGGTAGCGCGGCCCGGGATGCTCCCGGAGACTGCCCTGGCCTCTCTGTACATCCTTCTTGGCTCCTCCAGACCCAGGTGAGCGACTCCTGTCCGCGCGTCCCGATCCGGCTGGAGACAGGTGCAGAGCGGGGCGGAGGCGGCGCCTTTTGCTGGCTTCCCTGGCATCAGAGTGCCCGCTTCCCGCTGTCCACATCCTCTGCTCCGCCGGAGAGAGGCTGCAGCCCACTCGCACCTTCCCGGGATGCCAGGTTGAGCACCGTGTTTCAGAGGCGACAGCGGGTTAGCCGAAGCGAGCTCCCTAGCACCCCCCCCCCCCACTCCACCCCCGGCTCGGGATAATTCGGTCCGTGTCTTCGTCTTAATTTAGCACCGATGTGTTATTTCCTTGGAGCTCTAGAATGGTAAGGCTTGCTACATCCATTTTTTTTTCAACCCCCTTCATTCTGAGCCTATGCAAGGAAGGAACTACAGGCTTGCAAGTGATGTTACTACCGTTCTATTTTAAATACAAACACCCAGAGAAGTACGCTTGGCGGCGTGCCAGAGGCGCGTGCACTCTTTGTTATGTAAGTGCCTAACAAAAATATTTGCTGGTTGGTAAAGTTAAGAGCGGTTACCAGAGACCGTAAGAGCGCAGGAAGCCAGAGCCATGATTTCGGTCTTAGCTCAAAACTTTCCTTCAGGATCAGCATGTGATGGCTTCGATATCATTTAAAGGCAACACGAGGTCCTTTTAAAAAATAAGGATTTCAAGGGTTAAAACACGAACAGGTTTTTTTTTTTTATAAAGTTATAAAAATCAGCGGGACGTCTCTGACTAAGGATTTAAAGAAAAAGACGTCCCCCCCCCCCCACAGCCTTTATGGTTTTTAAACTATTAGGTAATTTTATTTTGCTCTTCCGCGGAACTGGCTGATTGTGAGTTGACAGTTACTAAAGATCCCCTCACACCGTTGTTTTTCAGGTAAAAAGATGAAAGTGGGAAGCGTAGGAGACGCGAATGTCTAGGGATTACCACTGTCTTACGCCCTTATATTTTGTTCTCACTGGTTCGGGGCGACGGTGTTTGTTATGTTTATGGCTTTCTGGTGATTGTCAGGTGGAGCCAGGAGTGAGGCTGTTGGTGCGCATCGCTTCATTTCAGCAGCCTAAGGTGTGGCTCTGAGGGTTCGAGGTACCTCGGTCATGCGGGTGGAATGTGGGGACAGAAACTTGTGTTCGACGGGAGAGAAGCTAATACATTTCAGCCTGTGTCTGTTTTCATCCAAGTAATGATCTTGCTTGTTTTTCCTGCAAAGAAAAGCTGCTGTGGACCCAGAGGATACCCATGGGAGGCTTAGTGGGGTACGGTGCGTTGTGCAGAGGGAGCCCTGAAAGTTCAGTAGTCCCGTGGGGGCGCTCCTTTTTGTCTTCACGATAAAAAAAAAATCAGGTTTCACTAAGGATTTTGTTCTCCCACTGAATTGACATTTTCTTATACTATATCAGAGTGTGAACTAGTCAACCAAGTGCGAAAAGCCTTTTCGGTATTCTTAAGGACCGAAGAAAACCGGCATCTTTTCTAAGCCCACATTTCCACACCTGGGGCGGGCTCACAGAGGCTTCATGGGAGCTTATGTAAGGGCTGCCCCGGTGCTTTTCGGTACTCTGTTAAACCCCCTGCTTTGGCCATTACATAATTGGCATGGAACTAGGCTGTCAGAGCTGAAATCGCGGGGGAGGATGTCTAAAAGAAATCTAGGCTTATGTGCTTGTGCTCTCTCACACACTGGCGTGCATACACACATACACACGGGTTTTTATAATGAATTGCTGCTTCCAAATGAGAGGGAACAGCAGGGATGGTGGTTTGTGAACCGGAGATAAGAACAGTGTGGCTCCGGAGGGCTGCTGGAATAGATAAATGTTCTGTTTAGCATTTTCTGGAGACCCAAAAGCTGGCTAGAAACCCCTAAAACCCTTTACACCTGCTGACAGAGACCCAGAGGCTGGGAAGCTGGTGACTCCTGGGCTTCTGGTCCCCCACCTGGACCTACTTTGAGGGGCCCTGGGAGGAGCATTGGCCATGTATTTCTGTGGTCACACTTAGGTTTGTCTGTGTAGTTTTGGGTTATTTTTTATTTAGTTTTATTTTATGTGCATTGGTGTGAGGGTGTCAGATTTCCTAGAACTGAGTTGCAGACAGGTGTGAGCTGCCATGTGGGTGCTGGGAATTGAACCTGAGTCCTCTGGAAGGGCAGCCAGTACTCTTAACTGCTGAACCATCTCTCCAGTTCTTGGATTCTTTTTAAAATAGGGAGGACTCTCTTGATACCCTCTTATCCCCCAGTTACAGAAACCCAAGTTTCTATGACCCTGGAAACTGTCCCATTTGCTAAGTTATGCTTAAATGTTGCCTTACAAAATAGCCTTTTTTTTTTAAAAAAAAAATTATTTTATGGGTGTGTTTGCCTGCCTGTATGACTGTGTGGCATGTGCATGCAGTGCCTATGGAGGCCAGAAGAGGGCATCAGATCCCCTGGAACTGGAGTTAAAAATGAGAGTGCTGGGAATAGAACCCAGGTCTTCTTAAAGAGCCGCAAGTGCCTCTAACTGTTGAGCTATTCCCAGTCCCTGGAAACCATGTGGAGCTACTGATACTACATGGGTTCCTGGAGACCAGCACCAGCTCTTGTAGTTTCTCAGGACTTCTTTTTGGAGTTGAGTGCAATCTGGGGAAGATGCAGCACTGGGGAAAGGGTGTGTGCGGAAAGCAGGCAGCAGCTCATCCACATCTCAGAGGCAGGCTGCCAAGGAAGAAGGAAGAAAGAAAACAACCATCGAAAGATACTCATTAAAAAATGTTAATGGGAACAAAGAGTACCGGCTTTGTTGGACCTTCCTGTACAAGCTCCTTAGCATCTCTCTCAAGTAGGAATTTTAGATAGTACACAAACAAACCCAGGCTTGAGAAATAACCCACAAGAAGCAGAGCAGGTTGGGAAGGACCGGATTGTCTATTGGCAGTTTTATCAGAAGATAAAAAGCCTTTAAGCAATGCCTGGGAAGGAGTCTCTTGCAAAGAGTTGAGGAGGGTCACTTTTTGCTGAACCAACTTTTCCTTTATATTGGAACTTGAATGTCTTCAGATCTTCCCACCAGCACGTGCCTATGTACTTTCCTATCATAATCCAAGATCAGTCCCTTGTCATCTATTATCTGTCCATTGTTTGTCATCTGTCATCCACAATTCAACATCCATCGTCATCGTCATCACCCACTACAATCACCTGTCACCCATCATCCATAATTCATCATCATCATCATCACCCACCATCAGTCTCCTGTCTTCCATCATCCATAATTCATCATCCGTCATCATCATCACCCACCATCAATCACCTGGCATCTGTCATCTGCAATTCATCGTCATCATCATCACCCATCACCTGTCATTTACAATTAATCATCCATCATCATTATCACCACCCACCATCAGTCTCCTGTCTTCCATAATTCATCATCCATCATCATCATCACCCATCACCTGTCACCTGTCATCCACAATTCACATCATCATCATTGCCAGTCACCTGTCATTTGTCATCCATAACTCATCATCTTCGTCATCATCACCCATCACCGGTCACCTGTCATCTACAATTCATCATCCATCATCACCATCATCATCATCACCATCACCCATCACTGGTCATCCATCATCCATCCATTTATCATCATCATCATCATCATCATCATCATCATCATCATCATCATCATATCAAACCCACCAGACTCCCCTTATGACCCCTCTTCTCAGCTGTGGCTTGTGTTCTGGTCTGGAAGATCTGCAGTTTCAGAATTTAGGTGATGTTACAAGACTCCTTCCCAAAACAACCTTGTCTCCAACAACAGACCCCAATGGTGTGGATTTTATGATGTGTACATTACATGACATTAAAGCTGTTCTGTAAAAACCATTTCCATCACTGAATGTCATAGCTTTTTGTTGCTATAACAAAATACCAGAGTCTGGATACTTACGGGAGTGTCCAACCCATGGCTCTTAGGGGCTGCATGTGGCCAAAGCTACAAACATGGCTCAACATTGTAAACTTATTTAAAACACTGAGACTTTTTTTTTTGTAACTTGATTTGTTGTTCTGAAGCATAAACTTTACAGGGGACATTGTGTCTCAAAAGCAAAAGGTTGAACACTCCTGAAACAAAGAAATTAATTTTTACCTTTATTTCTCATGTGTGCAACAATAATAAAGAAGAGGTTATGAGTTTGAGAGGGAGTGAGAAGGGTATAGGAAGACCTAGAGGGGAGAGGGTGAGGCAGAAATGATATAAATGCAGTACTCATGTATGAAGTTCTCAAAAAAGTGAAAATAGAAAAACAAAACATTTCAAAATTTATTTATATAAAACAAAACTTTTAAAAAAGATTTATGTATACAGTGTCCTGCCTACATGCAGAAGAGGGCACCAGACCTGCTTATAGAAGGTTGTGAACCTCCATATGGTTTCTGGGAATTGAACTCAGAACCTCTGGAAGAGTAGTCAGTGCTCTTATCTGCTGAGCCATCTCTCCAGCCCGTAAAACAAAACTTTTAAGATACATACAGAGACAAGGATGCTTCTACCTATAGAGTAATTCTACCCAACATAAATACAATAATGTGAACCATCTATGCGAAGCTTTCTGGTATTAGCCTTGAAAAGTAAAACCAAACAGAATTAGTGACAGTGTAGTTCACTAGTTCATTTAATCTAATATGGTCATAATTTGCTAATTTTACATGGCACACATGCAGAAGTCAGTAAACAACTCTGTGGAGTCAGTTGGGTTCCAAGGATAGAACTTGGGTCGTCAGGCTTGGTGGCAAATTCCTCTACCCGCTGAGCCATCTTTCAGCCCCCAAATCCTGTATTTTATTTTTTTTACTTTAATTTTTTATTTTTTTCAAGCTAGGGTTTCTCTGTGTAGCCCTGGCAGTCCTGGAACTTGATCTGTAGACCAGGCTGACCTGGAACATAGAAGCCTGCCTCTGCTTCAAAATTCTGTATTTTATACTAAGAAAGCTGCATGTCAGGTACTCAGCTATGTCTGTATAAATAGCTATTGTTCTGGTGACTTTTATCGTAGACTTTAAGCTTCTAGAAACATACCACCGTGTTCCTGAAATTCTGACGTCATCTTTAGCACCGCATTTAATAATCCTAAGACCTTTATTCACATTGGTTCTTTAAAAAGCACCCAACCCGTTGCTGTGGTGAGACATCCCTAATTGGGGACAGGGATGGTGTCCTTGTCCTCATTACTGCACAATCTAATGGAGGCAGCGGTCAGTCCTGTGGATGGGACTGAGGTGGACAAGAAGGGCTCTGATAGGTGGTGCTTAGAAGATGAGGGGCGGAGTTCTTCAGGAGAGAAGGCAGGAGGTCATAGGTGATTGGTGATGCTTAGAAGATGAGGGGGCGGCGCCCTTCAGGAGAAGGCAGGAGGTCATAGGTGACAGGTGATGCTTAGGAAGATGAGAGGCGGAGCCCTTCAGGAGAAGGCAGGAGGAGAGGGAGGGGTTTGTGCTAGCCTGTTCTCAGGAGCTTGGTCTACTTGGAGCAGGTGTGTGAGAGGTTTGCCAAAGGAGTGGTGTGGCCGTGCTGGAGCTGGGGACTGAGCCGTGGGAAGCCACCTGCAAGGGAGCTTGGATTCTCTTCCCATTAGCAAGCCATGGAAACCCTTGCAGTGGGGTTTTTGTGTTCTTGCTTTAGCACGCAGACAAGCCATTGGCTTTCCTTATTTCTATTTGGTCTTCTGCAGTATAGGGGTATTGGAACCCCAGGGTTGTTATGAAGATTTCTAGTGGTGATCCCACCTGTGACTCCTGTGACTATAGAGACCGTCTCCCTTGTAGATTCCATACATGTTGGCGACTGCGGACCACCAGACCCTGAACTTCTTGTAAACAACTTGTTTTCCTCTGCTCTGAGCAGCCTGCAGCTGCTCACGAGACCCTGATGGCAGGGGAGTGGGTTCTGATGAGGCTGCAGCTGAAAGATCCCGAGAGCTGGGGCGTGGCCAGAGCCCTAGATAAGCTGCCCCAGAGCATAATGAAGTGGGCATCCTTGGCATTCTTATCTCAAGGATGTCCCCGTGGCCCCGTCTGTCTGTCTCTGTCTGTGTGTATGTTTTTAAATTTTCAGCCGAGTTCCCATAGCGCATAGCGTGCGTGTAGAGCGCGAAACAGAACCCGTGTAGTTTTCCACACACACTGAGGTCATACTGGTGCTTCAATGTGCCTGCACCCCAGGGGCACCCAGAGAACAAGAATATATGTCCTTGAAGCATGTACTGGCTGGTTTTGTGTGTCAGCTTGACACAAGCTAGAGTCATTGGAGAGGAAAGAGCCTCAGCTGAGGAAATGCCTCCATGAGATTCAGCTGTGAGGCATTTTCTCTATTAGTGATCATGGGGGAGGGCCCAGCCCATGGTGGGTGGGGCCTCCCTTGACTGGTGGGCCTCCTGGGTTCTATATAAGAAAGCAGGCTGAGCAAACCTTAAGGAGCAAGCCAGTAAGCTTCACTCCTCCATGGCCTCTGCATCAGCTCCTGCCTCCAGGTTCCTGCCCAGTTTCCGTTCTTGTCCTGACTTCTTCCCTCAGTGCTGCGGATGTCTAAACTGAATAAATCCTTTCCTCCCCAGCTTGTTTTTTAGTCATGGTGTCTCTAACTAAGACAGACATTAGAGTCAAGCTTAGGGTTGGCACATTGGAATTCCTTCAGTGTTTTGTTTTAGATGTGTAGATACCTGTTTTTGGTTGTTCACGAAGGTGCAAAATCCATCTCCTTTTCTGTATGAGGCCCAGGGTGTTACACCAGCTTCTGTGTTCTATGTACTGCTCTGGCTACAGTGATAATTCACAGTGTCCCAGGGTTCCTCTCTATGAGGTTGACCAGTTGCTTCTTAGGCAGCTGATGGTCTTCCACAGAATGCCCTTATTGAGCCTGGGTTCACCCATGCATATATAATCTTCACAGACCAGCCGGGACACCTTAACTTTGTCCATACTTTTACATATATGTTTTCATGTGTGAGCTTATATGTGTGCCAGCGATCAGCCTGGGGTATTATTCCATAGGAGTCGTCCCTCCTGCGTTTTGAGACAGGGTCTCTTACTGCGACCCAGGATGTGTCAATTAAACTAGGCTGGCTGGCCTGTGAGCCTCAGGCTCCACCTGCCTCCGATTCCCTAGTGTAGGGATCTCAACTACACCCAGCTCTTTATGTGGGTGATAGGGCTTGAGCTTAGGTCGTATTGCTCTGTGTGGTAAGCTCTTTAACCACTGAGCTGTCTTCTGAATCCCTATTTCTTTAGTAGAAAACAATCACTTTTTGGTCTCCTCTTTGCTGCCAATGGTTGTAATTCCAAATGGTCAGAGCTTTTTCGTTTTTAGTAGTTCTATGTGGTCGTCAATAACACCACCACCTGCTTTTCTCTGATTATTAGAGCTCCCCTCAACCACTGTTGACATACTTTCAGCATTGCCGAGGTCAGTGTAGATGACTAAGTCTCTGTTTTATTTTATTTTAAAAAAAAGAAAACAAACTATCTTTTTTTTTTTTTTTTTTCACGATACGTACCAATCCAAGTTTTCACTCCCTCCCCTCCTGGCTTTTTGGGAACCTATTCTTTTTGGATGGATACAAAGTCTCTGTTTTGAGGTGAAGCCACTATAGGGACGCTGCAGAGGACAGAGGGAGTGCCTCTGAATGCCATTTGCACCTTGCATCTCCTTTAACCTGATGCCCTGATAGGATGTGAAGGAAACACTGAGCTTGCCAACTTCAACTGTTCATTGAGCTGCAGAGTTCCAGCAGCAATGTTGGCATTGTGTTTTATCTTACATTCTATCCTCAAAGACTCAGCTTAGAAAACAGGGACAGAAAACAGGTGACTGGTACTCAAGAGATCAATAGGTTTATTTGCCTGGAGCAAGCTCTTCCATGCAAACGAAGTGAAAATAACCCAGATAAAACCGAAGGACCAGTGGTAGGCTGCTGACTTCGTGGGTTTCCTGGTGGGAGGAAAATACTCTCAACCCTTTCCTGCTTTTGAAGATGTAACTCTTTGGTACCTAGGGACTCACATGGCTGCTCCTCTGTTGGCTTTGCGTTCCAACAGTGCTGTGCCTACTATGAATTATGTTGAGAGTGGCGATGGGGGTTGTGGTGGTTCTTAAGATAGACCGGCTATTAATACATTATCTGACAGGAGTGAATTCTTTTCATTCCATCTGGGCTTGGCTGTGAGTTGCTGATTTTCCTCAGTGTGGAGGTGGTGTGTGTGGTTCCCACGTGGGCTCCTGCTACCGGTTTCCAACCCCTGGCATCCATTCCCAGCCTGGCCCTTCTTCCCCTCTCCTGCCTCCCCCATGCCTGTCCTTTTGGTCACAGCTTTGCTTGGAGGGAGACCGCCTACATTACCAGGAGGATGCTGGGAAGGCATTGCCACTTACTGTGGATGGAGAGAAAGAAGTGAAAAGCTGCACAGAAAGCTCCAGATTTGGAGAGAATCCATTTATTATCTTTTGGGCACCACTTGTCATGAGTATACCTGGACCATTGACACCAAGGAGAAAATGGGCAGGTTTTGAGCAATAAATAGTTTTGAATACTAATTGTTTATAATGTCGTTCCTCCAGTCTTGCTCCTTTTTTCAGAAAAACTTCAAATTTTCCATTTTTCTCAGGTAAAAATGGTTGACTATTGAATCTTGGGTCACTCAACCCAAGAATAGCAAGAATTTTGTGATATCTATCCCAGTAGGGTTTGGGAGGAAATTTTGTGTCTTTCCCACTACTCAACAGCGAATCTTCTTGTTGTACAGCTGAGAAAAAGAAAAGCATTTTTTTATTTTGCTAAATTTTTTTGGAAATAACTTTTTAAAGGGCATAATCGATATCTTCAATGTTGTAGGGTTCATAGTTCCATTGATTCTTACTTTCTCCTGAGGTAAAATAAAATAAAAACTGGAAGAGGACAAATTTGGTAGCATTTGAGGCAACAGGAGTCATGAAATGGACACAGTCACCAAGTATCAGAAGCGTCTTTCCCCTGACAAAAAGGATGTCAACTTCTTCAAACAGCTCATTTCTGTGGGGCTTTTATGATCATTTTTTCAGATTGTTAATTACTCAAGGGATGAAGGCAGAGAGAAAATGCAGTCATGTAATCCACAGGGAATTAATCGGGAAATAAGATTAAGTAGCCCCTAGATCCTAGCGTTAGCCCGCGCGGGAGCTCAGAGGATGGTGCCCACGGGAAGAGCTGGTGTGTTCCTGCGTAGAACTCAGCACAGACTCCATTTCGACAGGATGCGTTATCACAGAGCTAATGCCTACACTTGCTGACTCTTCTTCCTGTCTTTTCCTCTTTCCACTTCTTTCTCAGGTGTCCGCAGCTTGATTGTCTGCTAGACTAGATTGTCACCAGTGACCCAGAAGCTTGTTTGAGGGATCAAGGTGAGCTCACATACAATTCTCTTTGATTCATTATTCTGTTTGCACTCACCTCTTGAGTTAGTCCCACTTCCTGGTATCTCAATTGTGCCACCGTGAAGAGGAAAGGAACTCTGTGGATCAAGTCAGATTTGTTAGCAGGTGCGAACAATATAGCGCACTTGCAGTACAGAACGGGGTTGCAAACCCATTGCTGACCCATCTGGCTCTCCTCGCGTTCCCAGTGGCAATTGGGAAAGTCACCAAGCCGTGGCTTCAGCAAGCCCACCACAGTGGGAGAGACCACCCCCCATCTTATCCTGTCAGAGAAGATCACACACATTGGATTGGGCCAAGCTGTTACAATTAGCTAGTAGGCTGGCTTCAATAATTTCTACCACACTGATTTTATTTATTTTATTTTTGTTATATCATTAATTAAATAAGCCATTGGAAACGAATTCTCACACGAAAGCTTATTTCGTGTTGTCTTTTTACTAGTGTGAAGAATACATTCCGATGGCAATTGAAACTCAAATTCAAGCTTCATGTTTTGCTAATGATTTTGAAGATGGGATGGGCCTCTCTTTCTCCGTGATAATTAATCATCTGCCTCAACAAAAGCTTATCTTGTTATTGTAGTCCCATCGATGGACAGAAATGGGGCAAGAAGCTGCAGTGGTGGGTGGGGCTTTGGTAAACTGTGCTTGATAAACGAAATTACCCAGAGACCCTGGCCTGGGGCCTCGTGCCTGCAGAGCCAGCACTTAGAAGCAGAGGCAGGAGGATTACTGTCAATTGGAGGCCAGCCTGTGCTATATAGTAAGTTTAGGCTGAGTGGCTTGACCGCTGTTTCAAAAACGGAAACTGATGAACGAAAAAAAAAAAAAAAACCAACACCCAAACACAAGAGAACAAAGCCATATGGGCGGCCAAGTCAGGGCTCCTTAAACAAAGCCTGTTTAACCAAGAGGAAAAGCTATAGTGAGCAACGATGGCCACGGAGATTTTCAGACATTTCAGAAAGGCTTCAGGGAGTCAGAGTGGCTAGCCCATATGGTGTTCCGTGCAAATTAGACAAAAGCATTCCTTCCAGACGACATTTTATTCCCATCTAATTGGAAAGTTGTTGAGCCGAACCGATTGTTGGAAAAAGACATTTTATTACCATATGCTAGAAAATTATAATGCAAGTAGTCAAATTACCTATCAGGAATGTATCCAAGTTTTAAGGAAGATACAATTTAAAAAGTCATTGAGATGTCCATCTGAGCAGCGAGTGCTTCCCAAGTGTGGCCTTTCCCACAGTGCTGTCTGAATGCCCTCAGGGCGGTTTTGCTTTGTCTGGACCTAATTCCTGGTTGGTGGGGAAGGGAGCTTTCTGTCAAGGAGATGGAGGAGAGAATTAGGAGTTTGAGGCATGGCTTTTATTGGAAATTTAGGTGGTTGAAAGGAATTTAACAGACATATCGAAGCTTCTATAGGTTTGGGGTAGTCGGATCTTTCTGGGTGTAAAGTTAGGGAAGAAAATGGAAGCGATTTTAAATAAATTTCCTGGCCAGCTCCTGTGGTTCTGGGCTTTGTTGTTAACTTGACCCTCCCAGGAAGGAAGGAACTTTATTTGTGGAGTTGCCGCTATCAGCTTGGTCTGCAAGCCTGTCTCTGGGGAATTTTCTTGATCTCTGACTGATGTAGGAGGGTCCAGCCCACTGTGGGCAGCACCATCCCTAGGCAGGTGGTCCTGGGCTGTGTAAGGAAGGCAGCTGTGGTCTCAGCTTCAGTTCCTGCCATGAGTTCCTGTCTTGCCTTCCCTAGATGACAGGCTGTAAGTAGGAGCTGAAATAGACCCTTTCCTCCTCAGGTTGACTTTGGTGTTTCCTCACAGCAGCAGAAGGCAAACTAGAAACATGTTGTAAAGCGTGTTTTCAGATAATGTGTTGTAAAGCATGTTTTCAGATCCCCTCCCACTTTAGTCACGTGAGCTTGTTGCACAGATAGGTTACCTGTTGGCGGGAGACCCACTTGTTGGTTCCCGGCCGCTGGGCTAGCTCAGCCCCGAAATAATCACACAGAAACTGTATTAATTAAACCGCCGGTCATCCCATTAGCTCTTTCTTCTTATTGGCTAACTCTTACGTATTAATTTAACCCATTTATATTAATCTGTATATCACCATGCAGCAGTGACTTACCGGCAAAGATTCGGCATGTCTGACTCTGGCAGCTCCATGGTGTCTCTGACTCCGCCTTCTTCCTCCCAGAATCCAGTTCTATCTTCTCTGCCTACCTAAGTTCTGCCCTATCAACAGGCCAAGGCAGTTTCTTTATTCATTAACCAATAAAAGCAACACACAGACAGAGGACCAGTTGCCAGCTAGTGGTACTTAAACTTTCAAAGACCCTTTAAGTCTGTATTATCTTTAGCACCAGGGAGTTGATTTCGGGTTGTTGAGTATGTTCATAATGACCAGCCTTTCCTTACTTGCAAGATTTCATAATTAATCTTCTGATGAAACCGAAAGTTAGTATCTCAGTGTTGATGTGTGCTTGGTAGCTATTGCTAGACAGACACAGGGGAAGGGGCATAGTACTTTGGGGACAGATATGGAGTAGAAGATAGGAGCATATGAATAGTGATTGAAAAGTTGAGAGGCTGGGGAGGTGGCTCAGTCAGGTATGAGGACCTGCGTTAGGATCCCTAGTACCAACATAAAAAAAACTGGGTACGTGTCTATAATGCCAGCATTGGGGGTAGGGGGAGACAGGAGGAATTTTGGGCCTCTCTGGCCAGCCAGTCTAGCTGAGTTGGCAAGCTCCAGGTTCAGCAAGAGACCCTGTCTCAAAAATTAAGGTGGAGAGTGATAGAGGACACACAGTTGCTCTCTGCCCTCTATGTGCATGCGCTCACATCTGTACACATCTGCACACACACAATTTGTGTGTGTGCACACCCTCGTGACCCATGTCCTGGCTGTCTTGGCATGGGGTAGGACTTGGTACTGTTACTACAGAAGCACAGGAAGGAAATTAGGAGAATCAGCGAGATGTTTAGGTGAATTTCTGCTATTTATGTCTATAATCTCCTTGCCCTCTCAACACACATATAATCAACATTTTGAAGAAAAGATTCATATTTTTTTATGAGAGAGAGTACTGAAGGAAAGTAGAACCAGAAAGGTTCTACACACACACACACACACACACACACACACACACACGTACCCCGCCCCCGAAAATTGCTTTTCAGCTTATCCTGGAGTTAGTGTGTTTGGTTTTCCCTTTGTCTTTAACATACCATGGAGAGTAGGGAAATGAAGATATTTTTGGAGCTGATGTTTGGCACCTGTGATATTGAACTAATAATTTTTGTGTTTCATTTTTCCTCACCTTCCAGCGGGGAGGATGATCATTTGCTTGTAGAAAACACCAAGGGAAATGTTGGCAAGCAGAAGCTTAATGAAAGTTAAAATGAAACAGAGTGATAGCTCTTCTGATGACGATCTGATGGGTCTTAGCACGGTGCGGTCCTAGTAATGGGGCCAGTTCGTTTTAAGAGGCTATCAAGTTTGAGGAGGATGGGGCAAAGATATGTATCTCTGGCAGGAACTGAGATTTAACCAGGATGGATAGCTTCCTAAGAAAGGGTAATGAGTGGGCTGTCCTGTGGTGGGCACCGTTAGGCTTCTAGAATCAGTCCTCTGCTTGGTATATGCATCAAAAGGACCAGATGCCAGTCACATGGTAAGGACCTCCATGGGAAGGGAAGCTGCTCAGAAGGACCTTACACCAAGTCACGCGGTCAGGAACTCTCCGGGAAGGGGGCTGCTTTGCTCAGTTCTGCGCAGGACCTAGAGCCCATCTCATGTTAATGTTTCTCAGACACCCAAAGGTGGTGTGTCCTGAGTGGAGAGAGGGGAGCTGGCACTGCAGCCAGTTACCACTCGCTTGCCTAAATCACGGACCTTGGATGAACGGCTCCTCTCTGCTAGGTTTGTCTTAGTTAGGGTTTCTGTTGCTGTGATACAACACCATGACCAAAAGTGACTTGGGGAGAAAGGGTTTATTCTATTTATACTTAACACAAGGCAGTCCATCACTGAAGGAGTCAGGACAGGAATTCAAACAGGACTGGGACCTGGAGGCAGGAGCTAAGGCAGAGGGCACTGTTACTGGCTGCTTACTGCCTTGCTTCCCCTAGTTTGCTAGCCTACTTTCTTGTTTTGTTTTTGTTTTTCGAGACAGGGTTTCTTTGTGGCTTTGGAGCCTGTCCTGGAACTAGCTCTGTAGACCAGGCTGGTCTCGAACTCACAGAGATCCGCCTGCTTCTACTTTCTTAATAGAGCCCAGGACCACGTGTCCGGAGGTGGGCTGGGTCCTCCCCTATCGATCACTAAGTAAGAAGATGCCCTACCGGCTTGCCTTCAGTCCAGATCCTACCTGAGTTCCTTAATTGAGATTCCCCCCTTTCAGAGGACTCTGGCTTCTGTTGAGTTGACAAGCTGACCAGGACAAGGTCAGAAATCATTTCTGTGGTTCTGTGCATTTCAGGCTTGCCTGTCTTGTCCCAAATGGAGCAGATAATTCTGTCACTAGCGGATAACAGGTGACCAAGGCCAGGGGCATCCTGGAAATGAGTATGACCAGAGGCAACTGTCCGCCACCCTGCTTCCTGGTGTGCTGGGGGACTGTTATATGTTGCTTTGTCTTTTTTTTTTTCTTTTTTGATTCTCCACTCTGATTCCGAAATACCTGGATGCCAAATGTGACCAAAATAGCTTCATATCTGGAGCATGAGGAACACAATCAGTGTGTGTAAGTCTCATGTTCTGCTTTAAAACAACCCTCAGAAGGACAGTGAGATGCTTAGTGGATCAAAGTGTTTGTTTGATACCAAGCCCAGTGACCCGCGTTTGTTCCTTGGGACCCACATGGGAGAAGGAGGGAACAGACTCCTACATATTGTCTGCTGACTTTCACATGCAAGCTTGTGCCTACACAGGCCCAATAAACAAATACAATTAAAA